TCAGGAACTATCTCTAAAAGATAATCTTTGTAGCCATTCAGTTGTGAAGCCTTCTGCAGAGCCTATCCACAAGCAGCCAGTCAGTGTTGTTGGCACTGGATTTATGATTCAGATACTCTGTTACAGGCAGACGCAAACCCTCAGACCAACCACAACCTCTCCATTTAATAATAGGTGAATTTTATTGATACACAGTGATAGCAGATAAGAATAATGCAAACAATTCTATATCTACCTGTTAGACTTTGACTCCATGCGGCACCCAGTGACTAGGGACACGACGATCTAATTGCCCATGGATCCTGTTACTCATTAGCCAGAGCAAGCAGGGAGCAAACACTAGCACACATTGCTCACAATAGCTTTATTTAGAATGGAGACAGCTTTGGGCATGCTCCCTTACAGAAACCTAGTCTATGAACACGGGGAGCAGCCACAAACAATAGTTTTTTTCACATTTATATACTTTAGTTCAGGTTAATTAACATTCATTCCACCTTTGTCCCTCCTCCTGTTCCACCCATTTCTCCTCCCATCTCAAGCTTTTCCTCAGTTTACTGTTTACTTAATTAGCATGGAATTGCCTATGCATTTCATTCATTTACATGCCGCTCTGCTAAGAGTGCATGTGTACGGCCATGAACTCTGGTACTCTCTATCAATCACTGGTTCTTTCTGGTTCTTGCTGACTTCAGTACCATCTCCAAGGTCTTGCTTCTGCTTTATTTCCTGATGATAGCTGGTGGGCTGCATCTTGTTCTTCTTACACAGTGGGCTCTAACACTACAACTTTGTTTAGAAAACTGCTTGCCTAAGCATTTGCAAAGTTATTTTTAATACATTATTCTGCTTTGTGACTAGCAGCTCTGCTGAGACACAGAAAAAAGCCTTTGTATTCAGCAGCAAATCCAGTGCTCCCCATAATCCATATTGTTACCCTAACACTACCAATACCAGGGTTCACAGAATCAAGGTATGTCTGGCCAGTATGTGAGCTTCACTCTGAGGTTCTCTCTTGAATGTCAGATGTCTGCAGCCCAGAGGTCAAAGGCCAAGCCCCACCTCTCCACCAGTGGGGATGAGACGGGCTGGTGGTGTGTCTTCTGTCCATAGTAGCCTCAGGTTCCCCTCTTGGGGACCCTTTTCTGTTCTGAAATCCCTCCTTTTGTATTCTTTCTCCTCCTCTGACTCTTCATCTCTGGGCATTGTTGATTGGTTTCTCTGTGGTTTTCATACTGTCCATGTTCTGTCCTGACAGCATATTCCTTTGTTTCACAAACCCATCACATGCACACTCCTAATCTGGGCTTTTACCAGTCCTCCTAATTTGTTCCATCTACCAAAACCAGAAATCCCACGGGCTCTGCAGTTTGGCACTGTGACCTGTATAGACCCTTATCTCTACTTCGGTATATACTATTCATGTTACGGAATAGTGTCATACATGTCTTCAATTTCCCAGCCTGTGTGTCTGCTTGCCTGTCAGGCACAGTGGGCCTTGAAGGAAACTTCGTCACAAACAGGCTTTTAGAAATCAGTCAACCTTTGCTATTGCCCTGGACCATTGTTCTAATGCATATCTACTTTACCTATAAGCCAATTCCCAAAAGCAAACCTCTAAATACCACTTTCTAGCCACTGAGTATGAGTTGTAATAGTGGTATCTGTGATATAGACACCTGCCCACTACAACTGGATTGAGAACAACAACCAGTTACAAGCAAGTGATAAAACCATGTGGCTGGCTATCAGTTTGGGCAGGTTAGAGTTGATGATCTTAGGATGAAAGGCTTAATATCTTATTAACAGTCTACTAAACTTCATTTCCCTCATAATTTATAATCCTGTTGTACATACCTAGTCTTCTTTCTTAAAAATACATAACAAAACAGTTTTAATGATCATGCTGATGAAAAATAACTAGTACTGGAAGACCTTTGGATATTGCACTGGAGAGTTAATATTCACTAGGTTTTTCTGACAAACCGCTTAGGCTCTCAGACTTTTCAATCTCTCTTTCCCATGTCTTATTTGCTTCATTTCTTTGTTTTTCTTTTTTTCCTAGAGACAGATAAATGGCATTGAAATCTTACTGCAAATGTCAGCTGTAGCAGCTCTGCACATCCTGGTATTCAAAGACCACTAAAGGATATAAAAATAATATTTCTGAGAAGTGCACATTGCTATGAACAATACATCTGATTATGTACTTTGACAAAAATGCTGGAGGCTCTTGAGCTTTAAGATGATCCTATTTCACATCAAAAATACTTTTTCCCCTTATTAATTGTAGAGTGTCACATGTTGCTTTCTGATTTTTTTTTTTCCCCCCCTTTTTCCTCTTACTCAGTGTTGTAATTCCTTTAGGCTGTTCAAAATCAATCACTTAAAAGAGAGATGGACTATTTTCCATTGGCCAGACTGAGCTTGGCCTGGCCCCCCATAAAAATAGTAATGGTGACAAGCTTTTCCCAGCCATATGCATCATGTACAAGTAACAATTACACTAGCAGTCCCTTTGTGTAGAGTGACTGTCTTGTGTTGAGACCATCTTGAGAGGTGACATTCTGGTCTGCAAAGATAGGTCCAGGATCTGGAGACTCCGTTTACTGTATTCTGTAGTATCTCCAACTGCAACTATTAAAATAGTATGCATTAGGACTCGCAAAACCACAAGATCTTAAAAATACTAAATGTAGGGTTCTTTTCATTTGTCTCCTAGTGTTGAAATCATTAGGATGTGTGCTAGCAAAGGAAACATGAGAGTGAACAATGGAATGGGCTTGGGTGTTTTAGTTCTTTTAAAGAGAAGCAGAGGTTTTGAGATAAAAGCATGATCCCAGGAACTGAGGTTTTAACAATAACACCAAATGTATACATGAGACTATAGTGAATTGAGCACTGGTAGCTTAATCACTGTCAAATTTAAGATGTATTAATGTGAACATGGTCTGCTTGCAGTGTGTTACCCTTCTGAGAAAGTGGACAGAAATGGCATGGGGGAAGAAATTAAAGCTTTCCCCACCCCCCACCAAAACTAAGCCTGTAGGACATAACCCATGTATGAAGAGGACCAAGTTGCTCCATTCTAACAGATGGTGCACAAGTTTTAAGAATGAATTTTCTCCTGACAGAGTTTCTCCAAAAGTGTTCTCAAGGCAATGCAGCTCTGTGCCAGTTATCTCACAAAGTGCAGTTAACTATATCTAATGGCTGGATCATTTTCCATAAATAAAAAAGGGAAAGGAAAAGCAAAGTACTTCTGTTAAAAGTAATGTAGGCAGATTTCCATGGATAGCAACCAGAGTGGAATGTCTGGATACACTGGCAGTGTGAAAGCATTGCAGCTACTTTGAAATAATATGTGAATATGGTTTCTTGACCTGATCATATAGAATATAGTATCTTATAGAGCAGGGGTACTCAGCCTGCAGCCTGTAGTCCAGATCTGGCCCCTAGCACAGTGTCATCCAGACCATGGGTCTCCCCACAGGTTTGAATATTTGTCACGGGAGAGCAGTGGACTCCCCTGTTGCCAAATTTATGGATCCATGGGGAGCTGGCCCTGTGTACCAGATGGAACATGCAGGGCAGTGCAGGCCCTGATCCCAGCACACAGGGCTGGGTGGGGTGGTGCAGAGCCATGGTCCCTGATCATTCTCTGCTCACACTATATGATAAATTTACAGCTGGACAGCTCTGGAATGATAGAAAACCCAGAGCAGAAGCCTTGGGAATCAGATGCCCATAAGCTTCTGTCATTTCTACCTGGCTGTCCTTGGAAGCCTCTGGGGAATAGTGGCTAAAAGGGATCCTGGGATCTCTGCTTAGCAGCTTTCTAGATATGGAGCAGTTCAACAGCATCAGCTCTGCCACATTTTGGGACACTTTACCAAGGAGAGAACCTTCATATTTGTACACAGTTGATGCACTCCGAATAAAGGTGGAACCTAAAATGTTTTATTAGTACATCTATTCATACCCTCTGACATGAAGTATCAAGTTGTAAAACAGAAGGAAAAATATGAATTGCCGCATGCTGCTTGGCAATAAGACATGCTGTTGTTGAGGTCAATGGGAGATGGTGGGACCAATTTAAAAAATTGGGCCAGTAATTTGGCTGCATAAATATGAATGTAGGTTTGTAATCTAAAATAACAACTTAGCAATAGGTGATGCATACATTGTTCTTCCCTTAAATTAATACAATTTTAATAAATCTTGATGCTGTGAGCTGATCTAGCAGCCCAAAGTGGAGAATAATTAAAAAAAAAACAAAAACAGACCAACTTTTTCAAAGCTGTTTCACTGCATTTTGCATTTATTAAACTGCTAGAGCACAGTAAATTATTACTTCTGTGCCAGTTTGTGTGCACCTTCATTTCATCCAGAGATAGCATCCATTTAAATGGATATTGCAGAGGTGGCTGGACGTCTCAAAATTCGTTAAAAATTGAAGTGAAATTATGGATGTGAAATGTCAATTCCAAGTACCAAATGTAAGGACATTAGTTACTCGTTCCTGCTAAGAAATCTATGTAAAAATGCAGTTTGCATATTTATCTAAAGGGAAGGCATTTTCCAACACGGATGACAGGAAAACAGTGTGAAAAAAGACTGCAACAGTAATGATAACTAAAAAAAGGAATTAAGAACAGTCAGATACCTTAAGCTGATAAATAGAAAAGCAACAATTACTTTCAACTGATGAGGGAGTTTTCCCTTAATTTACAGGGGGAAGAAAATCATGGAGCATCTCTTCTTTTTTTACCACAAAAGAACCACTTAATATGGCCCCTAGTGACATGCATGAAGGAGAAGGGCATCAGCCAGCTGGCAGTGGCTGCAGCAATCCTTCATGGTCACGGATGATCACTCCTAGAGGTCAAGTAAAGGGTTATAGATGAGTCTGTTGATTGCTGTGGCAGAGCACTTTTGGGTGCCTGCCACTTTAAAGCTGGGAGCAAGCAGCTGGCAGATGTGCGGCAGCCCTGATGAGGCAGGCATTTTAGATCTAGGCCCACAGATCAGAGGCAGCAGTCTGCTGCTGGCAGCCAGAGAAAGATCACCTGGCTGAGCTGCTGCTTTCATCATCTTGGAGGTAAAGACAGCAGCTCTGGGGGTGGCAGGAGACTTCTGGTCCTGGGTATGACTGAAAAAATGCACCCTGCCGGGGAAGGATGGCGTGGTGGGGTTGCCCAGGGTAGGGGAGCTCCCCAGAAATGCTAGGCCAGTTGCCTCCCCAGTGAAAGGCAAGGAGGGGTGCCTTAAAAACCCCAGCCCCCATATCCTGGTGGGTCACCCAAACTTAAAGCCAGGCACATCTTCAGACACCTGAGCCCCACAGGGGTGTAAGACCCTAGAGGCCCCAGTGAGGGGGCAGTAATATGGCCTGGAGAGAGGGCAGGAGAGTGGCTCCAGAGCAGGGGCCACACACAGTAGGGGTCATTGTTATGACCTGAAGGATTGTGCATAAGCAAAGTGTAGAGTAGGACTGCAGGCCAGTCTGAAGGGCTGCATTGGGGGTGGATTGAGTAGGGATGAAGGACTGCCCGGAGGACAGCACATGGGCCAACCCCCATGAGTATGTGAAAGTGGAAAGTCACCCAGTGAGGGGCTAGGGGCAGAATCAGCTCAGTGGCAGGCACAAGGACTATGCCACGTAGAGTAGGGGAGCACGAATGATATGAAGGGCTGTGTGTGCAGTGCCAGCATGAGAGTAGTCAAGCCTGATGGTCCAAGGGGGTTGCTTTATGGACCAGGGCAGGTTGAGAGTGGCCCGGTGAGGGGTAGCATACAAGAGGTCCTGTGAGACAGGGCAAAGTTGAAGAGGCCCCAGTGAGAGGGGAGTGGTATGAATGTGGCCCTGAAAGGGACAGTGTGCGAAAGGCCCAACAGTGGACTGAGTTTGGCTCAGCCTGAAGCTGGGATGCAATAATAAACTGGATGCCATTTGCAAGGCATGGGACATGGTAAGGTGAGGTTGGAGCTGTGTGTAAGTGACTAGGCATCAAGGTCTTAAATGGGCAGCCTCCTGCATTTTACACCAGGTTAAGAAACAGTAAGTCATGGCAGGAGAGACTGGGTGGACTGACCTATGTAGCCAGTTGGGGGAGCCGATGTGAGACCTGGCCCTGAGTGTGACCCCTGTCACAATCACTAAGAAGGCTGATCCTAGAGCCACAGACTCTCTGGCAAGTGCCACAGGTAATGGTTAAAGGAAGGATTGGACCACAGGCTTCCTGGTCTTGTTTCTTTTCCTTCCATTTCTGTTATTTTTCTGCCTCCAGAGTGAGATGATGTTCCTCAAAGTAAGATGTGGCTTCTCTCAGAAGGTGTCATGGGCTAATTTTTCCCAATTTGAGGTGTCAATGGTACACTTCTTAATGTTCACCTTGAGGGTGTCCTTGAGTTGGGAGTATAGCAATTGTTTTGGTATACATACTTCAGACATACGCACACAATACCCTGTCGATTGCAACTTCAACTGAATAGTCAATGCTTCCATATTGGTCGCATTAGCATCAGTGAAGTCACTGGTATTTATTTGTGCGATGATCCTCCTACTTTATGCCAAGGATCTTCCGGAGGCAGCACTGGTGATGGGATTCCAGGCTTTTCAGGTGCTCCCAGTAGGTCACCCAAGCTCCACAGTCATAGAGTTGGTTTTACCACAGCTTTATATAATAGGAGCTTTGTTTGAGTCCTGATGTTGTGATCATTGAACACATGATTATTCAGTCTTCTGAAGACAGAGCTGCCACACTGGATCCTGACTGAATCTTCTCATCAACGTTGGCTGTCTTTGAGAGATGGCTGCTGAGGTATGTAAAGTGCTCAACATTCTCCAGCTCCTGTCTGTCAATGAGGATCTTTGCCAGGGGGTTGATTTGGCCTGGAGCAGGCTGGCAAAGGGCTCTGTGGTGGAGCCACTGCATAGGATGGAGGCAGTCAACTGGCCATGGAGGTGTCTTAGCATGGTGATATATTTTCCTAGGCAGCCAAACTTTGATAAAATCTTCCATAGAGCCTCACAGTTAACAGAGTTGAAGGCTTTGGTCAAATCAGTAAAGGTCATATACAGTTCCTGGTGTTGATCTTGACATTTTTCCTGGATCTGCTGGGCTGCAAAAATCATGTCCATGGTGCCTCTCAATGGTCTGAAGCTGCACTGAAACTCAGGAAGGATTTACTCAGCAAAAGGGAGCAGTTAATTCAGCAGAATTCAAGCAAGGATCTCAGCAATGGAGACAAGGACAATACTTCAATAGTTTCCAGACTTATCCAGTTTCCAAACTTGTCTCCCTTTTTAAAAATTGTGACAATACTGGCATTCTTTAGGTCAGTGGGGATTTGTTCAGTGTTCCAGATTTTGAGAAACAGTGTGTGGAGCTTGTGAACTGGGATTACCTTGCCCACACCCAGTATAAACTGTTATGTTCTGATCATTCAAACCTGGGTGTCAAATCATCCATGTTCGCTTTGCAGTGGATATGTACCCTAAGTGGCTTATGAGTCAGAGTATGTCTATGTAGAACCTTTAAAAATCCACTCCCTCACACTGGAAGTTGCACTTAAATCGGCCATAAAGGATTGTATTTTATGCTCCTATTAGTCCACTTCCCTCAAATATTTGAGTGCCATCATAATAACGCAAAGATTATCAGTAACAACCTGACCCAGCAAAGTGCTGTGTATCCCACCTGTTCTCTATAGCAGTGGTTCTCAACCTTTTTAGCTTTGAGGCACCTCTTCTTTGACTCAAGACAGCCCTCCATGGCTTTTGTGAACTGAGAAGCACTCCATTTTAAAAACGAATTTACTTATTTTAGTGCTTCCCTCTTTGCAGGGGAGTGGAGCAGCAGCCAAGCAGAGACGAGACTGAGCCTGCCCTTATCTCTTCGCAGCTGCTTATCTCATCACAGCACCCTTCAAAAGATCTTTTAGTACCCCAGAATGCCCCAGCACCCTGAGAATCAGTGTTATATAGTATGAACTGAAGATGTTTAAGAACCAGGTGGATTTTATTTGCCCTTTGCCATTGAGAGAAGATTTTGTTGTAATTGTGAAAGAGCAGTAGCTTGACTTGTATACAACTCACTTGTATTCAAACTGTCTATAAGATCTTTTGTTTAATGAGCTTATGTATGAACCATTAGATGCTCAGAAAATAGAGTTGCATCATAACTGAGGAAAGTGAGGTGTTTCTATGCCCTACTTTGATAATATCTGAGAGTGTGACCAAAATTAAATTATTTTCCATTTTAGTGTTTATAAATTGAATGAACAATGTTTCTCCTGTTATCTCTGTCAAGCAGAATAAAGTTCTTCATAGGAATTAGATAATAAAGGCAATCGTCTATAAATGATATTTAATTTAAAATCTTCAAGTCAGGAATTTTTACTCACTTTCAAACAGATACACGATACTATTAGAAATGGTCTCTGCCTTCCCTTTTTACCAAACTATTATGATTATATTGGTTTGATGCATTATTAAGTCAACTATTAACTACATAATTATTCTGCTTGCAAAAGGTCATGATTGAATGCAATAATCCAGAAGTAGACAAGATTAAAGTATATGCTAAATACTCTTTAATTTTCCCTGCAAATTCCTGTTAAAAGGGTTAGGGCATCAGAAAGTCTCCCTATAATGGGGTATATATGGGAGTGCAAGATTGCGCAATAAGGATTTATGGACTACAGGTCAGGAACTTGTATATATGAAAACCCCATTTGGGCATCTGATTGTATGTGCAACTGGGAGGTGAGCATGAACTGGATTTTTAAAGGTGGTGCCTAGGGATGTACAGAGACTTCTGCATCAGAGCACATGTATGTATTAGTGGTCCCAGTTCCAGGGGTATTCATAGAGATAGATTGTGGGTATCTATTTTCAGAATTGCCTGTATGTACTCAGAGTTGTCTGAATGTTTACAAACTAGTTCTAGTTCAAGATGGTATAAATTAAGAGACTTTGGGGTTGGCCATCTTTAAAGAGTCTTCCATTGGTAATTCGGCCACACTTTGTAGACTGGTCATCAGCTAAGGTTGATGAGGCTAAAGCAGGTATGCTTAACCACCAGGAGCAGAGCATACATCCCTTTTATGCCAGAACACAATACCTCTAGACTCACCCTGACTGCTTAAAGCCTACAAGAAAATGAGATCAACCTATTCCAAAAACATACTGACTGGCTATATTGTCAAGACCTTCACTGTTGTGGTGGCCCTGTCATAGGCCATCTACAGGTGCCCAGGATTGCCAAGATAACTAGGATAAATCTTTATCCTTTCTCAGCTGCAGCTAGCTCATGACTCCTGTAAGTAGTTCATCCTCAGATTCCTATAAAAGCAAACTTCAACAGGCCAATAAGATCTCTAGGAGAGCAAGCTTTTGTCATTCTGAAGATGCAATTTGGGTATCTTTGAGGAGTCTGATGGAACAGACTGTATTATAAAACCAAAGTATAGTTAATGAGATATTCCAGCATCTAGCATATATAGTGGGACACAAGTTTATCCTAACAATTTTCCTACCAGTTTGGTGGATTTACGTAGCGTGTTTCAGGTCAAGTTGCACATGATAGATTTGCATGCACCAGTATGACAAATATAGCAACACTCACAAATCCATAGAAAGCCATGTTAATTAGCTTCAAATGCTTCAAAAATATTCCTGCTAAGTGACCATGCCAGTAAGCAACCACAGCTTAGATGGGTATTAACCCTGACTCTAGCACTTTGAGAAAAGCCTATGTGAAAGTGACAGCCTAGTTGCCCAACAACTATAATACAGGCCTCCCAAAAGAGAAAAATGGTGTTATGTCTGTACACTCAATATTGCTGTTTTAAATCACCATATTACATTCTTGAGGAACTGTGAAGGTCCATCTGCTATTGAGTAAGCACAAGTCCTGCATCTATGCTAGCAAATTTTGTACCTGTAATTCCCCACCTGTGCAGATCTGAGGCTGATAGGAAGGATGGAAACTGTAGTGTAGACAGGGCTCAGGTGTTTTTTGTCAGCAAGTCTCATAACACAACACGGAGGTAGAGAAAAACCAACCTTGTCTGTTTCTGCTGGTGTTACTATGGCTGGTGAATTACAGCTGGCAATGTAGACAAGATACAGCAGTGTTCTCTTAGCCATGATCAGGCATTCTTTGCACCTGGTTGAATTTCATCTACTTGGTTTAAGACCATCTCCTCCGTATGTCAAGAGCATTTTGAGCCTGGCCTCCAAAAATGCTTGAAACCCCTCCCAGCTGCGTATCATCTGCATATTTTATAAGTGTACTCTCTGTTTCATCAGTAGCTTGGTAATGGAAATACTAAATAACACAGATCCTTCTGGAGCCACACTTAAGATGCCCTCTCAGTTTGACAGTGAACCACTTAATAGCTTCTGAAAGATATTTTTTTTCAATCAGTTGCTCATTCACATCTCATTCTGTGACACTGAAAACTAGTATGAAAGAAGAGAGTAGGAAGAAGAGTAAGCCTTAGGCCCCTGTAGTGATAATGAACTTGATGGGAATTTCCCTTCCCATACATGTAATTTGAACTCCTAAAAATGATCACTCAGGTGGGCACTAGCCTGTTTTTCTCTACTGTAAATTTAACAGGAATCCCTGGGCTCCAAAGTTCTTCACCTCTATATATGCATTCTTAGGCCAATGCTTCTTATGAGCAATTTGCAACAGAGAGCAATTTCCTTTCTTTGAGGGCTGAAGTAGCAATCACTATTGAATGAAACAAATGACAAAATGTGTTTTCTGGAAATTTTCCCATTGTAACAAAAACATAAAGGATTGTGTGTGCAAACTCCTAAACAACGGTTAGGTGAATGGGTGCAATGTAATCTCTAGGTGAAACTGGCAGTAGTACATAATGTTCATCCAAACCAGATGAGTGTTGACTAGAATTGCCAACTGTCCATACATTTACGGACAGGCGATCTGGAAAAAAACCTAAGCACCTGGAGCTTGATTGAAGATCCACTGTCAGAGGCAAGCATTGAAAAACATACAGTGAGCAGCACTACCTGGTGTCTGAACAGGAGTGCAGGGTGCTGCACTTTCTGCCTGGACAATAATGGGTCACAGAATGGCAGTCTGTCCTTCTTTGGGAGTCTGTGCTAGGATGAGGTGGGGAGGGTATGACTAGCAGGGGTTAGTTTTGGGGGTTCATCGTGGTTTGGGAATATAGGAGATCCCTGAAGTGTGGGCAACACAGTTTAAAACCAATGCTGCAGTCAAGCAGGGTTGCTAACCCAAGGAAAAAAATTACCGATAGTCTGCAAGGCTTTTTACTTATCCAGGATCTGGCAGAAGAGTTACATTCACATTATATAAAATGTATGTCAGTAAGAACATGTGAATAAAAAAAGGTCATCATTAATAAGTTCGCAACTTGTTAGTTAAAAAAATTGTTTTGGGTTGGCAACCTGGGTCTTGACAGACACATGCATGGTATATATTTGAGATATAGCACTGGACACAAGCCTCTATTTCTTCTTCACTGAAACAGTTTATTTTGGGGAGGCTCAGAAATGTCTGGAGATGGGTTAGGATTATTTGGAGAAGGGAGACAGTTATTTACAATGGTGGCGCAGGGCAACACAATGGTTCTTAAACCCTATTAGCATTTCTAGGAGGAGGCAAGATATGCAGAAAGTTATGTACAATATGAATTCTACTACCATCAGACAATTCCTTAGCATTCCTTCATGGAACCAGCACAATGCATATACGATACAGATACAGTGTTGGAAAATGTTTACAGTAATGTTTGAACTTCTAAAAATGATCACTCAGGTAGGCACTAGCCTCTTTTTATATGCAGGTTGACTAACTTGTGTGCTTCTGCAGGCCGATTCTGCTCCCTGAGGAGCTCCTAAGCCACTCCTGCAACTAAAACACACAGTCTTTGACCAGAAAAGAAATGAACAAAGTAAAACAAATCCCTTCTGCCCTGTGCTGCACCCTAGGATGGTAGCCCTTTCAATTCTTCTCAATTCCAGCATAGTAATATGGCCCCCTTGGTAGCACGTTTATTCAGCTGACAGTTTCTTTGGGCTTACAACTGTTTGCTCACAGTTTTGCTGCTCTTTTGCTCTCCTCTTGGGACACTCTCATTATCTTAACATCTTGGCTTTCTCAACAGGGCTGACTGTTCTCTCTTAAAGGGCCAAATTGCCCTGTTACTATACTGTTACTGTATTACAGTGTCTCCATGCAAGATGGATAGATTCCATGCTAAGGCAGAGATTGCTTAATTGTGTATTCTTTGTTTTGTTTGGGGTCTTTTTGCATTGAGTGTTGTTGCAAGGGAAAGCACACTAAAGATCTCTGGTAATGATAGACAACAAGCACAGTGGCTTCAAAGAAAAGAATGAAAGACATTAACACCTCTGTCACTTTGTGTTGACTTTGATCTTGTTCCTCTTATCTGATCCTGACAGCTGCTAGTTGTCTATGCCTGTAAATTAGCATTGCTATCTCAAAGAGAAGACTTTAGAGAAGGTGACAGTAACTACCTGCAAGATCACCTAGATATGCGCCATCTGGCATTTTAGCTTGAATTTCTAATACTGTTTAGTTCAGATCTGTTTTTTGATTTTTCCTGGTACAAGGGAAAAAAATGAACATTTTGTATTAGTTCATTTATATATTGCTGCTTTTCTGCTGCTGTATGTCAAACAAGAGGTTTTATCAATGATATATGCTAGAAGCAGAGATTTGTCAACTATTCCTTCCCTTGTGAAGAATATAACAGCAGAGGATGGTAGCAGTGATGGTAACCAAAAAAATCAAATATTGTAAACATTTTCTCTATTTACCAAACAGAAAATTGGGTACTGCAGTGTACCAATTCATTCAGGATATTAATAGGTATTTAGATACTGGCAGGCTTTTATGACTTAAAATTGGACCACAACATTACTTTACTTTGTTTTGTTTTGTTTAAATATTTATAAGGTTTAAACTCTACAGAAATGTGTGTGGCAGTTTATTGGCTAATATACAAATGTGTGTTTTTTTTACCAATGGGACTATCAATGATATTCATAATTTAATACAGGCTTGTATATCTGCAGCTTTTGCTCAGAAGACCACTGCACTTTTTGCTCAAGAGAAATATAAAAATAATCTAACATAGAAATTAGAAATATGTTTCTATTCAGCAAAGAAAAGAGAGA